AGGCTCTCGGGTGGGAGAGGCCATTACCTCTCCCACCTGATAGCAGCGATTTTGCTGTGACTGGTCCCACCTGAAGACGGAGGCTTGCTTTGCCTCCGAAACGTCGTGTTTCAATTGTTTCTTTCATTTTTACTTCGATTTATTTTAATTTGTTTTACCTGCTACGTGACTTTACCGAATAGAACCGAATCCTTGCAGTCACGAAACGCTTCGAATCTAGAATGAATGAACAGTGTTGCTGACAAATAAGTCTCTTGCCTCACCATGTCAACGCTGCAACACTACACCGCTATACACTACACAATTGTACGCTGCACTATAAACTACACTCTACACTTTACATTACACTGCTATACCACGATACACCGCACTATGCACTGACGCAGAGACAGTACGGGGCACCAGCGGGACAGTACGGTTCCACGGCACCGAGGCTACCGATGGACGTGCTCCCGATGACCGATGGGGCAGACGTTGACAGGGTCACGTGAAGTGGGGGGGGGGGAGAAGAGCACGTGATCGAGTGGCGTGGGGGCGAGCCTAATCAGGGCGGCGGGGCGACAGGACCACGCGCGGCTTGGAGGAGGGGTCGGGGAATTAGGGGGGGCGTGGCTTAAGCGGCGGAGCTGGTGGCTGTCTGTGTGGGGGAAATTGTCGGCTCGCCTCCGTCGTCCGCGGGTTTGTCTTCGGACGGGAAGCGACGTTGTCTCCGAAGCGAGTCGTCTCGCTACCGCGGCTGTGCAGAGTCACTCAGCGGCTGGCACGTCGGGTCGCGAGTGGACTTTGTTCATGATGCGGAAGGCAAGACGGTGCCTCTGGGAGGTTCTTCTGCAAGCAGTCGGCAGTGGTCGCAGCGAGATTCAAGGTGATACACTACACTATACACTACACTATACACTACTATACACTACACTACAACCACACTATACACTACACTATACACTACTATACACTACACTACAACCACACTATACACTACACTATACACTACACTAGAATATACTACTATATACTATACACTACTATAATATACACTATAATATACTATATACTACTATACACTACTATAATATACACTATAATATACTACTATACACTACTATAATATACACTATAATATACTACTATACACTACTATAATATACACTATAATATACTACTATACACTATACACTACTATAATATACACTATAATATACTACTATACTATAATATACACTATAATATACTACTATATACTACTATACACTACTATAATATACACTATAATATACTACTATATACTACTATACACTACTATAATATACACTATAATATATACTACTATATACTACTACACTACTATAATATACACTATAATATACTACTATACATTACTACACTACTATATAATATACTACTATATACTACTATACACTATACACTATAATATACTACTATACACTACTATAATATACACTATAATATACTACTATACACTATACACTACTATAATATACACTATAATATACTCTATACTACTATACACTACTATAATATACACTATAATATACTACTATACACTACTATAATATACTATATACTACTATACACTACTATAATATACACTATAATATACTACTATACACTATACACTACTCTAATATACACTATAATATACACTATAATATACTACTATATACTACTATACACTACTAATAAGATACACTATAATATACTACTATACACTACTATAATATACACTATAATATACACTATATACACTATACACTACTATAATATACACTATAATATACTACTATATACTACTACACTACTATAATATACACTATAATATACACTATATACTACTATACACTGTACACTACTTCTATAAGCAGTCAGCACTAGACACAGCGAGATACAAGGTGATACACTATACACTACTATAATATACACTATAATATACTACTATATACTACTATACACTACTATAATATACTACACTACAACCACACTATACACTACACTATACACTACTACACTACACTATATACTACTACACTACACTATACACTACACTACTATACACTACACACTACACTACAACCACACTATACACTACACTATACACTACTATACACTACACTACAACCACACTATACACTACTACACTACACTATACACTACTACACTACACTATACACTACTACACTACACTATACACTACACTACTATACACTACACTACACACTACACTACAACCACACTATACACTACACTATACTACTACACTACACTATACACTACACTATACACTACACCATACACTACACACCACACTACACTACACACTACACACCACACTACTATACACTACTATACACTACACTATACACTACAACACACTACACTATACACTACTATACACTACACTATTATATACTACACTATACACTATACACTACACTATACACTACACTACTATACACTACACTATACACTACACTATACACTACACTATACACTACACTACTATACACTACACTACTATACACTACACTACTTTACACTACGCTACTATACACTACACTATACACTACGCTACTATACACTACACTACTATACACTACACTATACACTACACTACTATACACTACACTACTATACACTACTATACACTACACTACTATACACTACACTATACACTACACTACTATACACTACACTACTATACACTACATTATTATATACTACACTATACACTACACTATACAGTACACTATACACTACACTACTATACACTACACTACTTTACACTACGCTACTATACACTATGCACTACACTACTATACACTGTACACTACATTACTATACACTACACTACTATACACTACACTACTATACACTACACTACCATACACTACACACTACACTACTATACACTACACTACTATACACTACACTACCATACACTACACACTACACTACTATACACTACACTACTATACACTACACTACACTCTACACTACTATACACTACACTACCATACACTACACTACTATACACTACACTATACACTACACTACCATACACTACACTATACACTACACTATACATTACACTACCATACACTACACTATACACTACACTATACACTACACTACTATACACTACACTATACACTACACTACACCATACACTACACACTACACTACCATACACTAACGGTTGGTGCCAAAGAAGCTCAACGTACGTAGAGGAGTAGAGGGAGCGACCGTGATGGAGCGTACACTTGGAGGTGCGAGCGAGTTGACAGCGGTGAATGGCGCCACGTCACGGGCGCTGTAAGTGGGGCGGCACCTTCGGGAACAATCCTGGGCCTGAGCTAGGCGGAGGAGCCGCCATGGGGTACTCAAGCGGGGGGGGGGGGACCCCGTTGCGACGGCGATCTCGCCGTAGGGAGCGTGAGGTCGTCGGAGTTGAGAGAGGAACGAGGGGTCTCCGTGAACGACATCTCAGCTGTCGCCGCCGAAGAAGAAGGGCTCAAGATGTAGAGGTCTCACCTCGTTGCCGGGCGGTGTTGGATGATCCCCCGCCCGGGGGCAGACGAGGGGGTAGGCATAAGGGAAGCCGTACCCGGGGCGTAGATAGCTGAAGGAATGTCCACGAAAAGCAGCGGTACCCCGACCTTTTTTCGGCACCAGGCACCGGGTTTCGTGGAAGACAAAAAATTTTTTCACGGACCGGGGTGGCGGGCGGGGGTGGGGGGGGTGGGTGGGTTCACCATTGCACACGGAGTTGGTGGTGTACACGGTGGTGCTTTTTTCAGGAATATTTTTGCTGTTTTTTTTCCACGGATTTTCTGTTTTGCACGGTCAACACACACACACACACAGTAGTCACTTAAAGATGTTTTTTTTTCCCTTGTTCGTGTTTTTTTTTTTTGCTTGTTGTTGTGGTTGTACCCCGATTCAAGAGCCGAATGGCTCACGGGGCTACAACCAAAAATAAAGAAACTGAAACCGGGTCTTGACCAACCTTTTCCAAGAAGCTCTCCGGCAACGTTTGTGTCTGTTACTCACTGTGGCTAGTGGCGGGGAGGGGGGGTTAGAGCTTGTGGGCTTTCTACCAAAACACCACGTGACTGAGACTGAGTTGCGCAGTGCGGGGTGAAAGAGGCGCGCACGGGGAGAGGTGAACGGTAAAATAACGCGGTGGCGGGTTCCGCTGCCATCGGACTCACCGATCTCACCTCCTGCTGCTGTGCGGCCCGGTTCCTAACAGGCCACGGACCGCTACCGGCAACCGCGGCCCGGGGGTTGGGGAACCCTGGCGTATAGGACGGAGTTCTGACCTACGCCGCGACGGGTGTGAGCGTCGAGGGCAGAGATTGTAGCAACCGGTGAGTGCACAGGGGGACAGAGTGTGTCAGAGTGTGAACAAACGGAAAGCATCCCGAAGTGAGAATTCCTCGTCTCCGGCTGGTTCTACGAGTCTCCTGGATGTCAAGAAGTAGTACAACAACACGTACATACGTGCGTATGTACGTGTGTACGTGTAACAGCACTTGCCCCCTGTTAGAGGCTACATGGGGGGGGGGGGGATCCTTTATCTTTGTGGACATGTAACCAGCGCCGTGATGGCCAGGAGATGTTAACTACCTCGCCTGGTATGCAGGCGGTCGTGGGTTCGATCCCGACCCTGACCGTGCCTGTCTGCTGTGTATGTGGAGTCTGCGTCTCTCTTCCCGTGGTAGGTCGCGTGGATTTTCCTCCGAGTCCTTCACTTGATTCCCCACACATTAAGAATGAACATCACCACGCAAACTGCTATGTATTCCCCACACGACGATGATTATGATGATGATGATGATATCAGCCACTTGGTTGAGCTGCTATGATTGGGTCGCTTGTCCGAAAGGGAAACTACACAGCCGCTGAGTGATGGGGCCTCTTTACACCTGGTACGAGAAAAAAAAAATTAGAACCATTTCATCAATAAACCTACGTGAACGTACCCGTGACGCGCAAATCATACGACTGGCACGTTTTGACAGTGGCATTGTGTTTGTAATCCAATTCGTAGACTCCCCGGTCTCTCTCGCCCACCCCTTTGAGCCGCAGAGACATGTCAGCGGTGAGCTCCACCCGGCCTTCGTAGCTCCAGGTGGGGTTTTGAGACGACCAATCGGACGCTTGGACCAGATCGTAAATGATTACTTTGTCTCGATTTCGCATCACGGTCCAGCTCAACTCGGCTCCGTCCGGAACCTTGCATCCCCGTGGGAAGGTGACGGACGCTCCGGGGCAACTGGCGACGGATTCGGGAGCGCCCACGGCACCTGCGGAAGGAAAGGGGGGGGGGGGAAATTTACACGGCACGCATTTGTACATTACACTATATACACTACACTATACACTACACTATAGACTACACTACTATACACTACACTATACACTACACTATATATTACACTATACACTACACTATACACTACACTATACACTACACTATACACTACACTACTATACACTACAATATACACTACACTATATATTACACTATACACTACACTATAGACTACACTATAGACTACACTACTATACACTACACTATACACTACACTATATATTACACTATATACTACACTACTATACACTACACTATACACTACACTATACACTACACTACTATGCACTACACTATACACTACACTATACACTACACTATATATTACACTATACACTACACTATACACTACACTATACACTACACTATATACTACACTACTATACACTACACTATACACTACACTATACACTACACTACTATGCACTACACTATACACTACACTATACACTACACTACTATACACTACAATATACACTACACTATACACTACTATACACTACACAATAGACTACACACTATACACCACTATACACTACACTACTATACACTACACAATATACTACACTATATACACTACACTATACACTATACACTACACTACTATACACTACACTATACACTACACTATACACTACACTATACACCACTACTATACACTACACTATATACTACACTATACACTACACTACACTATATACTACACTATACACTACACTATATACACTACACTATATACTACACTTTACACTACACTATACACTACTATACACTACACTATACACTACACTATATACTACACTACTATACACTACAATATACACTACACTATATATTACACTATACACTACACTATACACTACACTACTATACACTACATTATACACTACACTATACACTACACTATACACTACACTATACACTACACTACTATACACTACACTATACACTACACTATACACTACACAATAGACTACACACTATACACTACACTACTATACACTACACTATACACTACACAATAGACTACACACTATACACTACACTATACACTACCCTACTATACACTACACTATACACTACACTACTATACACTACACTATATACTACACGATACACTACACCATACACTAGACTACTATACACTACACTACTATACACTACACTATATACTACACTATACACTACACTATACACTACACTATATACACTATTCTATAAACTACACTATATACTACACTTTACACTACGCTATACACTACTATACACTACACTATACACTACACTATACACTACACTATACACTATACTATACACCACACTATACACTACACTATATTCTACAGTACTATACACTACACTATATACTACATGATACACTATACTACTATACACTACACTACTATACACTACACTCCTATACATTAAACTGTTACACACTACTATAAACCACACTATAAGCTACACTACTATACACTAAACTATACACTACACTACTATACACTACACTACTATATGCTACACTGTGGACTACACTACTATATGCTACACTATACACTACACTATACACTACACTATACACTACACTACTATACACGATACAATAATCTATACTATACGTGGCATTACAATACACTGCACTACTACACACTGCTGCATACTACACTATACACTACACTATAAACTTCACTACTATACACTACACTACTATACACTTCACTATACACTACACTACTATACACTACACTACTATACACTACACTATACACTACACTACCATACACTACACTACTATACACTACACTACTATACACTACACTATACACTACACTAATATACATTGTTATACATTACACTATACACTACACTATTCAATACACTATAAACTTCACTACTATACACTACACTACTACACAATACACTATAAACTACACTACTATACACTACACTACTATAAACTACACTAATATACACTATACACTACATTATACACTACACTATACACTACACTACTATACACTACACTATACACTACACTACTATACACTACACTATACACTACTATACACTACACTATACACTACACTATACACCACTATACACTACACTATACACTACTATACACTACACTACTATACACTACACTCTACACTACTATACACTACACTATACACTACACTATACACTACTATTCACTACACTATACACTACACTATACACTGCTGCACGCTACATTATACACTACACTAATAGACATTGTTATACATTACAACTGCACACTACACTATACACTGCACAACTATGAAATGCTATCAACCAGCCACCACCATCCGACGCATCATTGGGTAATTTTTGCCCGACGACGCCGGTCGATGGCATTACCGGCGAGACATCACGTCTCTCTCTAGAATTTGTAAATGTTGTGGATTTGACTCTCCAACAAGCAGCAGCAGCAGCTGGTGGTTCGTGTCCTTGATTCTTTCGTTAAAGTCGCGTCGACAGGCAACAAAAATCTCAAATTAAAAGCAAAAAACCACTCCACGGCGGGGGTTTTTTGTTCGTTAAATTTTTTTGTAAGTTTCCCACCCACGTGACTTTACCCCGAAAGAACCAGGAATATTGACACTCCCGCGGTCACGGAAGTTTCGGGTCAGAACTTTTAGCTGGGATGGCGCTGGACCGCTGAACTAGCCGGCACGTTTCGCTCACGTTAACAAACTCTCTCCCCGACGGGTTGGCTGCCTGTCGGCTGGTGGCGGGGTTTAACGACACGCATCTATATACACACTCACGTGATCTAACGCGAATAGAACCACATTGAAGGGCTCACAAGTGACGCCTCCACATCTTATCCCACTCTATTTAAGGTGACGAAGCGGGCAGGATGATTCCTCCACAGATCTGCCTCTCCGCCTAACGGCATTGCCGCTCGCAAATTCCCGGCGAAACGTCGTTACTCGGACTGTGAGTGTTGTGGGATTTGATTCTCCGATCACACAACCGGTGGTGGCTGCTGTACCGGTAACGAATTGGCCACGTTCTGTTTAGATGACAAACCCCTTACTAACAGCCATGTCGGGTGGTGGCTGGGTTAACGACACACATCCTATATACTTACGCGATCTAACCCGTAAAAAATAACTTTTATTATGAACAATATTTGTCGTGTAAGCCTTACTATACACTTCACTACTACCCTATACATTACACTATACACTACTACACACTACCCTATACACTACTCTACACTACCCTATACACTACTATACACTACCCTATACATTATAAACTACACTATTATAACTACATTACGATACACTGCGATACACTGTACACTACTATACACAACACTACTATATACACTGCAATACTATACACTACTATACACTACATTATACACTACACTATAAACACAACACTACACACTGCTACTATAAACTACAGAGCTGGGAGGCCATGTGGCCTCCTTTCTACACCACATCAATTCCAGACATCCCGCCATCGAATTCACCATGGAAGTGGAGAAGGATGGCAAGCTGCCATTCTTGGATGTTCTGTTTGAGAGGAGACCTGATGGCTCATTGGGGCATTCTGTCTACAGGAAACCCACCCACACGGATTCCTACTTGAAGCCTGATTCCCACCACCACCCAGCTCAGAAGAATTCTCTCATCAAAACTTTATACCATAGGGCTCATTGCATTTCGGACCAACACCACCTGACCAGTGAATTAAAACATGTACACCTGGCCCTCAAAAGGAATGGATACTCTGACCGTACCATCCGCCAAGCTGTCTCTCCCGCCATACAGAAACAACCACTTGATACTCCGGTCAAAACCATCACACTACCATATATAGCAGGCGTTACTAAGAAGATTTCCAAAATTCTAAACAAACACAAGATCCAGGTCCGGTTCAATACAGTACACAAAATTCGTGATCTGATCCCATCCGTGAAGGATGTCATTCCTGACTTACAGTACCCCGGGGTTTACAAATTGAGTTGTACCTGTGGTGACTGCTATATCGGGGAGACGAAGCGACATGTCTCTGACCGAATTCGCGAGCACAAATCAGATTTGAAACACGGCAGAACGAATTCTTCTGCCGTAGCTGATCACTGTTACGACGCTGTGGGTGATCACGATATAATTTCTCCGACACCAAGGTTCTTTGCAAACCCACGGGTTTTTTGAATCAGAGATATGTTCACGAGGCAATTCAGATCTACAAGCACAGACACAATTTCAACCGAGAGGATGGTTTCAAGTTAAGCAACCATTGGAAAGATGTTCTAAATCGAACCAAACATTAAACTAATTTTTCAATGGTACAATATATTTATTTCAAGTAGTGGTACCCCAAACTTTCGTAGCTTCTTAAAAATTCTCTTTTCACACCACCGGCATGTGGACGCTACCGTGCTCCCTCGCCAGCCTGCACGGGTCATACCCCCTCTACCTACCTTTCATCATGCTAAGTCCGCCTATTAAAATGCTAATTTTTATGCTAATTCCTTTGTCAAGGCACCTTAATAACTCTCAGACAGCTTAAAGGTCGCGGTCTGAGCTGTGGCTGTGTTTCACTCCAGCGCTGTCCTCCAGACAGCCTGGTCCCTTCACCTGATGAAGGCCGCTTGTGTTGTGGCCGAAACGTCGTGATTTTTTGTTGTTTTATTTTGTTACCTACTACGTGACTTTTACCGAATAGAATCAAAGAGTATGGATCCTTGCAGTCACGAAAGCTTCAAGTCTAGAACTTATTCACTCACTCATTCATTCACTCATTCGCTCATTCACTCCCTTATTCACTCACTCACTCATTCACTCACTCATTCACCCACTCATTCATCCACTCACTCATTCACTCAATCATTCACTTACAAAGTAACTCACTCATGCATCCATTCACTCACTCATTCACTCACTC